TCGCTCGTGGCGCCGCTGACATCACCTGCTCCACAGCGTCCTCCTCTTCCTCCTCTGACCACGTGTTTTCCTCCTGCAGGTTGCCACGAGAACCACTGAAGCTGCCCATGCCACGACTAAGCGCACGGAACTTGGATCGGAAGGTGACGAATGAAAGGCTCTTACTGCGCCTCTTTTCCCAACGGGCTGTGCGCACCTGCAGCTCTTCTTCAGCCTGCTCGTCATCCAGACAGGCCCTCAGCACCGAGCGGAACAGCTGAGGGACCTCATGCACTTCTGGCTCAATCTCAGACACTAGATTACGAAACCTGAGGATCGTACAAGAAGAATGAGACAATAACAATGGATAACACTGGATGTGTTTAAAATGCGTAATATAGTATATTATATAGTATTACTAGTTGTAATGCAGACATATAGAGCCCAAACCATGTTTACTGAACTAAATTTTAGTTCAGAATAGCGCATCATCATTTATCTTACAAGGAAATAATCTCCCAGTATAGCAGGCCTGCCGTACATATGCCAGAAATAAAAACCATGTAAAAAGGGCCCCGAAAGAAACACACATACACAACACAATCAAACTATAACTCATTATAATACAATATTCAATATTGTGTCAATAACTTTGATTTACACTCCTTAACCTGTCTTTTTAACCCTTTTTCTTTTCTTTTTTTTTTTTAGCCAGATATATAAGAAAATATCTGTGATCAGCCACAAAATATTTGTACAATATCCTGGAAATATAATCTTATCTGATGAGTTACAAACAGTGCATAAGCCTATATTTTTGTCCATCATAGTTTGATAAATTAGACAGGGCAGACAGTTTATTCTGCATATCAATGGACTGCTAAACCCTCCTTGACCCTCTGTCTAGTCTGGGACCGGAACAGCTTCCCCGGTTGTTCCCCCCGTGCAGCGGGGCTGCAGTACTGTGATATTTTTCAAGTACACCTGTCTATTAAGTTCACTTGCCCTATTACAACCTACCAAATGGTGTCAGGTTCATGATCCTCCCTACCTGACAATGACAGGGCCACACTGTGGAGGTGGGATCCGTGCACAGAGCTCCTGCAAGTCCAGCACGTCTCTAGGCGTGAGCTCGTAGGGTACGTGGGGTTGAGGCCCGGCCAGCCAGCTGTAGTCTGGTGAAGATGAGGAGCTGCGACGCACCTCGCTGGCCCTCTCCAAACAGATACGTTCAGTACGCTTCACCATGGCACCCAGCTCCAACATCAGCGTGTTAGTGACCAGCTCCTCTGGTGTGCGCTGGCCAGGAACCTTCGGCTCCAGCGAGAACATAGCAGACCAGGGGAACATCTGAGAGAGAGGAAGAGATATGGCTATTCAAGGCTATATCTTTGATTTCTTTCTACTATTTATCTTGTGTATGTGTTCACTTGTGTTTAAAGCATATAGTATGTTCACACTAAAAACAGTAGTGTGCAAATAACTCAAAGTCCCTCCATTTCAGTCCTAAATACTAGCACAGTTAAAGAGTTACTGCACATCAGCCCTTACCTTTTCGATAATTGTTTTTCTACTTCTGAAATGTAGATTGACTCCAGTTTGTCCCCAATCTGAGTTTTCTAGTCAGGGGCACATGCACATTATCGAGTAACACAAAAAGGTTTTGCAGATTATGTAAATATGAATCCAAGTTTTCGTGTGCACCCATGAGTTCTTGCAGCAGCACGGCCTCTTTAGTCTATATGGTAATCACTTTGCATAAGAGAGTAATCCCGCAGAAATAGTGATTGACATGTCTTACCAAACCCGATAAGCCTATCTGAGAAGGTGTACATGTGATTGTATGAGTGCAGATATAACAGACATATAACACTTCCTCATAGTTGCAGCTGAAATTTGTAAAATGCTTCGATCACAATGTAAAATTATCATGAAGTAAAAATTATCACTGTGATACAATATTGTTTGTGTATCTTGTATATATCAGTGCTGGGGTAATTAAAATCAGAACAATTGTTTCCCAAAGAATATTTTTGTTGGATAATTAAACATATTTAAAGCTGAAGGCCTGACATGAATATTTTACTTTAGACAACATGGTTGGTGACAACAGCTACCGAAATATTTCTAGATAGATTATCTGCAAGAAACATTTGTTACTCCAAGCCAACAATGAACATACAGATTACTAGATATACATTACATAACCTGAGTATCATCTTAATTCTTACTCCGGTGTCCCCTGCAGTCTTTGCATGAAAGTCTGGTATATCTGGCAGGCTATGAAAGTACTATGTATACTACAAGGGTTTCCACTCAGCTCAGCACTAACAGGGCTTTATTCTTAGTTTGTATTAACTGGGATTATATAGCAGTTACGTGCCACACGTGTCAGGAAGCACATGTTTCTACTGCTGATATCGATTATAGCCTAGTGTGTATCTCCTTTTTACAGCCAGAACACTGGTATACAGCCACACTCAACACAATTATGCTGTAAAAGCTATGCAGTTGTTCACAACAACAGTATACACTATATGGCTATAATAATTGGTTTAGAATAACAGAGCCAGGTAGAGCAAGAATAATAGTAAAATAATTAAAATTAAGGATGCATAATTTGTTGCCATTTCTGTTCATGTCTAAGAAGACCGGTCAAAATGCCTTTATTTCTCTGTTTTCTCTTTATATTTACATTTACATTCATGTGGCAGATGCTCATATCAAAAGTGATTTAAGAAAAGTGCAAATAGCTGAAGTTCCAACATACAAAGAACTTGGAGACTCGGTAGCGGCCTAGCTGGTAACCTATACATGATATTGTCTGAAGAGGTCTTTAGTCCTTTGCAGAGGGAATAGAGACACCGGACTGTTCTAACTGAACCCGTGGAATGAAATTCACAGCAGAGTCTCATAAGAAGACTTAATCGTGCTATCAGCTGGTATAGTGTATAGACAGTGGACACCTACCATATAGGCACACTTATCAGATACACCTACCTACTTTTGTTGGTCTACATTTATAGAATATACACATACTGGTCACTTTAATAGGAACACCTGAACATTTATGCAATTATCCAGTCAATCAAGTGGCAGCGGTACAATGCATAAAATCATGCAGATACAGGTCATGAGCTTCAGTTAATGCTCACATCAAACAACAGAATGAAGAAAAATATGATCGGCATAGATAAATGCATGAATGTGTAGGTGTACAGGTGCTTCTAATAAAGTGGACAGTGAGTGTAGAAGATTTAACTGCCCTTCAAGCATTCCTCAGTATGTTTTTGAGAACCACTGTTGAGTGAACAGTTTTATTTGGTGGACTTTTAAAACTGGACTTTTCAACCCAAGATACTGCTATCTCTAGCATTTCTGATGTGCCTGATGTACTCGAGCCAGCACTGGACACAACTCCATGTCAGTGTTAACGCTGCGTTAAGAATGGTCTACCACCCAAATTCTTGATCCTGCCATCAGGTAGAAGGTACCGGAGTATCAAAGCTCGCTCTGCCAGATTGCTCAACAGCTTTTTCCCCCAGGCTGTGAAAGCCCTCAACTCCAATCTCCCTGTCCCCCTCTGAAACCTCATCCACAACCCTACCTCCTGAAACCATGAACACCTCACCTCCTACCCCCAAGCCATGAAAAAACTGACAATCTGTTTAAGTGCAATTCTGAGTGTGCTACACACAGGTGAGTGGGCTATACAAACCACCTGTAGTAACACACTCTTTTCTCTGAATGTACACTGAACACTACAAATCATCTTGCACTATGCGCTGCTTCCCCTAAAATATCTCTTTTGCACAATTTCATTTACAAAATACCTTTTTTGCACAGTTTCATTTACAGTATCTATGTAAAGTTTTGTATAGTTTTTGTAAAGTTTTTGTAAAGTATGTATAGTCACCTTAATTGTTTTTGTTGATATTTATGTTTAACTTGTATGTAGACACGACATTTCGTTCAACTATATGTCCACACATGTAGCAGAATGACAATAAAGCTCGACTTGACTTGACTTGACTTGACTTGACTTGACTAATGGGGTAGCCAACAAACTAAGTGTATAGAAACAGATGGACTGCAGTCACTAATTGTTTACCTAAAAATTGGCACCCATGCAGAAGGTTAAGGTCACTTTCTAACCTTGTCTTAGCTTCTTACAGACATTATGTTGGGTAAGGAGCCAGTTTAACAAACACTGTTGTAAAAATGTTCAGTCTGTCTAAAGCTGTACGAAACCTCGCAAGCTAAGTGTGCTTTTCTCACGATTTGATCCAGGTTTTGGATGGTTACATGCCATAGCGAAACAGATGTAAGTCTACTCAATTTAGTTTGGAATCATCTTCAAAACAGAGAAGAGTGTCTACACACTCTGTCATCAAACATAGCAGGCACATTTTTTAAAATAAATGTCTGATAGCAAGAAATTTAGCCAACAGAACTGACTGAATTAATCAATGATTATTTTCCCACCAATGTCAGTATGATTAGTGATCAATCGACTGAAGAGACAATGATGAGGCTCGTGTTTAAATGCCATGACTTGGAGGGAGACAAAGACTCAGGTGGATGATGCTGATAATAAAAGTGATAATGCATCTCCCATTATAAACTTGTGTTTTATTTTATATATAAAATATATATTTTATATATAAAATTTGATGTTTATGTTGTTTTTCCAGAAGTAAATTAGGTTATAAATGGGTGGGGTGTCTTTCAATGGAACTGGAAAGGAATCTAAATGTGATTTTCTCCTTTTTTTTTTTTTTTTTTTTACTTTTAACCAGATGCTATAATTTTAGTCAGTTGTTTCAGGAAATAATATATATTGCAGAAAATGTGATTTCTTTTGTACAGGGTTATGGGGAACCTGGAGCCTATACTAGGAAGCAAGCTTGTGTAGCAGTCACATATACCTTTTCAGGCACTAGAGATAATTTGGAGATGTCTATATCACATATCTTTCGACTGGGGGAGAACCCAAGGGAGAGTATAGACGCTGCACTCAGAGCAGATGCGGGAAGCGAACCCGCAACCCTTGAGCTGTAAGACAGGTGTCCTAACCACTAAACCACCGCGTCCCCACCTTGTCTCGACTTGCCCACTTGGGGTTAAAACTGGAAGTGCAAGCTCTTTTTCCCCGCCCCCTTTCTACGTCATTCACCCCACCTCGTGTCAACTGAGGGTTGACGGAGCGCGGCACGAGACACGATGCGCGCGCATTGTTCGGTTGTAGTTATATAGAGCGTTATTTCTGTAGTAACTCCACGGCACAAATTGATATTATCAGTCATTTAATAAGAAGTTAGACGTCTGAAATGAGACATGGTGATTCACAAATCTCAGTAGAGGCGGTAAGTGATGTCAGAATATTTTGGGCTAGCTTGCTAACCAGTCAGTTTTTCCGAATGTAATGTCATTCTTTGTGTTAGGCGAGGTGTTTGTTTTGGTCATTTGTTAAGCGGTTAGCATCAGGTGTAGCTTCACTCGCTGTTCTCTCTCTCTCTCTCTCTCTCTCTCTCTCTCTCTCTCTTTCTTTTTCTTTTCACGCTTGTCATAATATCTGCTGTAATGAAGCAGCTGTGACATGGTTGTGTGTTTGCTGTTTTGTTATTAGCGTTAACGTTCATAACCGTGTTAAATTCACTTAAGCGGGGAATCAAAGTCACGTGAATACAACTGAAGACCTTCAATGAATTTATTTATTTATTTAAAAAAAAAAAAAAAACGCGTTGAAGTTGAATTTCTTAATACAAATGTTGCCAAGCCAGCTTTAGGATGATCCCTTGTGCCATTTGGTGGCATTGTAGTGAGCCCTGTGCTCACCCTGTCTTTGTTTTGCTAATCAGGATGATCAAAGGTTGACCTGTCCACAATCTTTTCACGTCTCTGTCTCAAATGAAGTCGGATTTATGCTCCGGATTTTCCACATTGCTGTTTGGGTAACAGCTTTCCCTAAATGAATGGCAATCAACCTCCATTCGACACCTTATAGCGCCATTTAGCTCAAATCAAAACATCTGGTGCGTTATTTTCTCGTGACCTTTGTGTTGTGTTGTTTATTGGCTGTTATCCAAGTTGTGCCATGTTTGTGTCTTGGTAGCAAAATTCCCTTGAGTGTGTTTCCATGAGAACTTAAGCAAAAATACAAACACACTCAGACATGCAGCTAAACCAGCTTAAATCTGCATGAGCTCCATCTAGTCACTCTCTAGGCCTGTTGCTGTAGTCTGGAGCAAGTAGAGACAGAATTATTTCCCTGAGGCAGAGTCCAGGTTTTTCACTAACCGCACAATAAATAGGCTTGGAGCTTCTCTTTCACATATCCTACATACTAACCCGTGCCTTCTTTCTGTTCTTTTTTTCTGTTCTCCAGAACTGGGAATGATCAGCCTGTGCACCAGTGGATCTCAGTGAAAGGTTCTGGTCCTGCTGTACTTGTTTATGTGCGTGCTACAATGAGCTGGGCTGCGGAGGACTGGACCTCAGGGCTTTCCGGCCTGGTCCTGAAGAAAGTTCAGGAGCTTCAAGTGCACAATGAGAAGCTGAGCCGAGAGAGACAGCAGAGACAACTCCAGCTGGACAACTCAGAAGCAGCACTACACAAACAGAAGCAAAAGGTCTGTTTACACGATTCAGTGCTTTTGATATTCAGTATCTTTGCAGTCTCGTTCTTGACATGCTGTTATAGGAATATAATCAGCGTCAGGCTTACGACGCTGAAGTTTATGATTTTCCAATAACAACGCGCTCTTAAAGTGTTTAATTGCTCTTATACCACAGCAGATTGCCAACAATTGTAATTTTACATTTATTAATAAACATGTCATATTTTATATGTTTATAGTTACATTTAATGTTGTGGAACCTCTGCAAGACAGGTTCCTGTTATCAGTTACGTTATAGCAGCTATACACAGTCATACCCTTGCCAGCCTCTTTTTTTTTTTTTCTCTCTCTCGTTTTCTTTTGAACCCAAGACTCCTTTCATGAATGTTAAATAAATGTCTCCTAACAGAAAATTTACCATATAATTTGTTGCACATTTTTAATCTGTTTATTGTTAGGCTCAGTCCCTGTTACTGTAGAAAGAGCTGTTTGCTATAGAAATGGTAACCTATTAGAATGAGCGCAGTAGTATTAATCTGTGATTTGAATTACAGTCTGCACTACTGTCAGAGCTATGCTGTTATAGAAAATGAACCATCACCTTCTGACCAATCAATGAAATTAAAAGCCCTATCTTTAAACTGGAAATCTGAAAAGTATGTCTGTGATTTTGGTCGAGGTTAGTCGAAGGTGGCTGCTTTGAATTTCAAAAACTGAACAAACACAGCCTCTCCCTTTACTGTTCCCCCTAAAGTCATGCTCCAAAAACACTTGCATGCACACTGTCTAGGTTGAAAGCTAGTATGAGAGGAGAGCTTTCGGAAGTGACAGACAAACAGGCAAGTAGACATGCCTCCTCGTCGTGATTGGTTGGATATTGGTGGCTCCCATTTATATGGCTTGGGTTTATAGACAGCTGCCAGAATGTTAAGTAAACCTGCCCAAATATTTCAAAATATATTCTGACCCCACCTTTGAATGTCAGTTTGTTTCAGTAACACACAAGCAAGTGTTTCAGTAGGCGCAATTGTAGATGAAGCAAGATCTATTGTGCTTCTAAGCCCACTGGTATTAACTCCCTGTTTTTGTAACTGTGTAATGAGAGTGAAGACACATAAGAAGATCTCTTTACTTTTTGCTTATTTCCCTACCATGCCAAACTTGAGAGTGACTTTGAGCTGAGTCACTTTGCAGCTGCTTCCTGGGACACTGTTACAGATGTGCATTAATGTGCAGTAAAGAGATATTCCTTAACAATTATGAACGGCAACCAGATATGTGACTATGCTATGCAATGTTTAAAGTCCTAATGTACAAATGAATATACTTTGAGTCTTTTGTTTTCACCCTGTCTCAGTATGAGGAGGTGCGTGTGGAACTGGGAGCGGTTCAGAGGGAGCTGGTGGGAGCGCGAGAGCAGGTGCAGGGAGAGGCACGGACAAGGGATCGCCTGACCCAGGAGCTGCAGGCCAAAGTGGCTCAGGTGTGCACTCTAGAGGGCCAGCTGGACTCATCAAGGACACTCGTGCAGAACCTCACGCAGGAGGTTAAACGGTGAGTCAAATGGGCAAAAAGTGTAACCACACGTGTTAGTGGCAGCCACGTAGATGACACATACACACTGTAATTGGCACAATATGAGCGTATGTTTCAGTGAGGCAGCTGTGTCAACAGGCTGAGGGCTTGGCTGGAACCTAAACAGCTTATTTGTTATTTCAATTCCAGTGACATGGTGTCTGGGCTGGTGCAGGAAACCAGTGAGCTGACCCATGTTTCTACCAGTTTAAGAGCCAAACAATTACGTAATCCACTGTGGAAGATTCCCATCCAAAGTTGAACCATACAGCAGCTACTGTATATAAAGCACAGTGACAGATAGAAGATAAGAAATGCAAGTTGTTTTTTGCCTATTTTATTGGCTTTTGGCTGTTTTTGAGTCTAGGACATTTTGTTATGAGTTGCTGTTCAGCTGCAGTTTTTAATTTTCCTTTTTTTTCCCCACAATAATTAAAACTCTTTGCACTGTTCACACCTATTTTAAGGTAGGCATGATGATAACAGGTTTTGCTGTTAGGGTAATAAAATGACGCCAGTCTCTAGCTCCAGGTTCCAAACCAGCAGAATTGTGGTTCTGAAGCCAAACTGTGATGAAAAAGCATGACATGTTTTTAAACGCTAGTTTGGCACCTTTTTTCGTGGAAAAAGGGCTTCTGTGTGTATTTGTTGTGAGCTGGGGGGGGGTGAATTTGAAATTTTGCTATTTAAGATGGAGGTTCTTAATGATTTAAAGCTTCTTCTTGCTTGCCCCCTTTCTCTCCATCCATCAGGCTTGAGGCAGAGCTGGAAAAGCTGCAAAAAGAAAGTGTCTTAGGGGACTCCATGTTGTTTTCCACACCCTGCTGGAACATGACCTCACCCTGGGACCAAAGCGGTATCCTGCTCTATGTTCTTTCTCTCTTGTTCTTTCTCTTTTGTTGGTGCTCCCTGTGTTTCCTCTTAGCTCTTTATTTGTTAATTTCTATTCTTTTCTCACCCTTTCTTATCATTTAGAAAGCCTCCACCACAAAAGAAGTAAACATTTAATTTAATCAATGTACCATGTTATTACATTTATTCTGTTCCATATGCTTTCAAACCCTGCCTAGTTTTGTATGTAATGATTTTTTTTTGTGTTTTCAGGCAAGAGCAGTCTCAGAGGAGAGGACATCAGCAAAGCCCGAGTGAGTTTCCTCAAACACCATCCACATAATGAATACCTGCTGTTTTTGTTGCCTGCTTGCGTGCTGTTTTGGATGATTAATTTGATATTCTAACATAGTTTATGGAAATAAAAGTTGTTTTTTTTTTTTTTTTGGCTGTCCCTCTCTAGCAACAGCTACTTTTTGGAGATGGCACCAAGCCTTCAGTGAGTGGTGTTTCGTCTCCGTTCCCTCAGCAACCAAACAGAACACCGCCCCTCAGGCGCAAAATCAACCAATCTGAGGCTCGCTCCTCATCCTCTGTGTTTCCTTGGGAACGGGATGACAGAGGGTCCACTCCCAGGGGCAAAGCAGCATCCACACACACCTCCTCCTCCTCCTCCTTCACTTGCAGTGATGTCATCACTGAAACTGGTGCACCGAAAGATGGGATTGAGGAAGCACTGAGGAAAGAGGTAGACGGTAAGGGTCTTCATCATAGTGAGAGACTTTTCATGAAACTGAAGAACATGAAAAAGGCACGAAAGTATGTAACAGTCACAAAGACCCTGTATATAAACATCAAAACATGGAGATATACAATATACTGTACATTAAAATTCTGAACTATAAAATCACCTCTCTCAATTCAGTATATACAAGTTTGCAATCCGTGTTCCTAGTAAAATATGTTTTGTTATAAATGCATAATACTGGTGCTCTGTATTTGCATCCAGAATGATGTACTGCGCTGTCGGTGCTTCCCAAAATGATTGAAGAAGCTGTCTAGCA